GACCCACACCGGGAATTGCACGTCCTGGTTGGCCAGCCGTACCGTCGCCGTCCATACACTAAGAGTGGGCATGGGCGTGTTCTCTGCCGACACAAGTCCCGTGCGTGGTCGGCGTAACTCAGGCGACCCCAGGTGCGTCCAAAGGTCTTGGCTGATAACCGTGACGGAGGCACCCGTGTCTACCAGGGCAGTGGTCGAGCGTCCGTCCACATACACTTGGATGATAGGAGCTTCCAAGGGAGACAAGACTCCGGCCAAGGTGGCGTTCGGCTTGGGCGGGACGGCCTCCTGACTTCCAGGGGCGGCGTCCAGAAGCACGTCCAGGCCCTCAGACGCAAATGGCCAGGCGTAATGTGCCCAGCCAACAGGTTTGTTATTTTCCTGAGCCGCCAGGCCCGGTTCCATGGCCTGTTCGCTCATAGAGGTGCGCTTCAGCTCGGCTCGTCGGAGTCGTTGACGCCGGATACGTGCCGCCGATGCCTGCTGATATGGGTCCAGGTCCAGGCTGAGGTAGTTGTGTCTCACTTGGAGTGTCCGACGTCGCGCCCTCCAGATACTTGCCGGCAGTCGCGTCGCTTCCAGGTCGACGATTGGGATCCTTGCCGTAGTGTCCAGGTCGAGGAAGGTGAAAGCAGCCATTCCAGAGAACGTAACCCGGTGGTGGTGCTGGGTCAACTTGTCGGCAGGACAGCTCGGTGTCATCTCAGGACCAACCAGGACGGCGCAAACGCTTTCCGGCACAGGGCCAAAGCGGGGCAGGTTCGTACTGCCAAGGCCCTTGCGCTCCATCCTTGCCCATCGTGTAGTTGCCACGATTCCTCCCCGGATGCTTTCAAAGTTCCTGTTGGCAGTCCTGGCTTCTTCACAAGTCTTCAGGGCCCGGGTGAACCATGCCAGCCACCGTTCCGGGTCGTCAATGTTAGCAGGGGCTTCCAGGAGCATCTTGTCGTCTGCAGTCAGTGGCCTGTTCAGGGCCTTCATGACGACTTGAGCGATTTCTTCATGGGAGACGTCCCGGTGTCTGGTCTTGAGGGCCTGGAGCTGCATGTTGAGGTCTTCGGCCGTGACAGGATAGAGTCGATCTTCGATATCGACCATCCTGGTGTCCGGAAGACCTGCCAAGTCTCCTCGTATGATGCTTTCGACCTGTCCCGGCGTAAACACCGGAGGTGCGGCTCCGGGGCGTCCGAGGCACCTCGACAGGATGAGTTGTGGTAAGGGCCGGCGACAGGGCGGTCTTATCGCTTGCCACGTCGGATGGTGGGGGCGCTACTGAAGGCCAGCAGGCCCCTGGAGGGACGCTCTTGTCCTGGACGAGTGATCAATTCCGTCCTGGTGCGTTCCTCCGTCCTCTGTCTTGTCCGCTTGAGTTGCCGCGAGGGAGACGACAACCCCGTGGGTCATGTATTCTTCTTTCTGGTCCTCTTGAGTCGTCGCGAGAGTAACGGCGACCCCGTGGTAATCATGCCTTCAGGTTGTTTCACGAGGCGCAGTTGCGCACCCGGCTCGCGGTCCGTCCTGGAGGTGTCCGGCCTTGGTCTATCCTTCATTCCGATGGACACCGGCAATAATCGGGCGTCTCTAGTCCCAACGTCGGCCTCGTCAGGCGCGATCGTTCTTCCACTCAGCGTGGGCAACCCCTGGCCTTGTGCCAGGACGAAATCTTCACATCCACTCTGCGTGGGCAACCCCTGGCCTTGTACCAGGACGAAATCATCAGTTGACGCATCCTGGCGACACGCCGGGATGGTCTTGGGGTCTTCAGGGGCGTTCCGACTGTCGACGTCTTTGACCTCCGGGACACTCACTGCGCGTTCTTCAATAGGTAGAGACAAAACCAGCTCCGTAGGGCCTTCTGGAGCCGCTTTTGTCTTTTCTTCACGATCTTCTTCTTCATGTTCACGTTGTTCGGGAGTAATTTTCCTGTTTCCGATCGGACACCCGCCACTCCCGGCGGCTGATGTCAGACCATTGGGTCCTCACTGGGCACCCGTGGTGGCGTCCTGGACGTTGTTTCCCGAGCATTCGTCCCCGAACCAAGCTTGGAGGGCAGCGACCGCTTGAGGAGGCATCGAGCCTAGCTTCTTCGCATTCAAAGGGCATCCCCAGGAGAAGTGTCCTAGCTTCCCGCACGAGTAGCAGGCTGAGTTGGGCCCCTTTGGTCGGCCACCTTGGGGCCGTCCCCGTCCTGGAGCGTTGGATCCACCATTGTGCTTGAGACCACATTCAGCCGGGTGGTGCCCCCGGGTGCGGCAGGTCGTACAGAAGTACGCCGTCCGTGGGCACGTGTCCCTGGGGTGACCCAGGACCTTGCAACGTCCACACACGACCGAATCCGTCTTGGTTTCGACATCCGGGTCGGAACTGATATTCGGCACAACAGGAGTGTTACCACCGGGGACGCTAGGACGGTGCATAGGTTGGTCAGGAGCGACTGCAATTTGGGCCACCACGTCGTGCAGGGTCGAGAACCGGTCGTTCTGGCGCGAATCCTGTTGAGCGGCCATCGTTGACATCTCCTTGCGAATCTGTGACAAGGTAGCCTTCATCTCCTGGAGCTCGTGGGTCGGCGCCGCGGTCCTGGATGCCGCTCGAGCACTCCGGGAGGGCGTTCCAGGGGCAGAAGTTGCACCAGAGGGACGAGACGGAACGTGTGTTCCATCCTGGCGTATGTCCAAGTCGACATCGCGATCCTGCAAGTACTCCAGACCGGCCTCGATCGATGCAGGTCGAGCGGCAGCACCGCGGAGACAGTTCGACACGTGGATGTCATCGCAGCCGTTGATCATCATGATCACAGCCTTGTCGGCCTGAAGTCCAGCGTCCCGGGCGGCGTCGGCGATACGCCACGCATATTCCCGGACTGTCTCGGTTTTCATACGACGGGAGTTCTCAGTGATCTCGGACATCTTCCGGCTTTCGGTCTTGTGGATGAACTCCTTCCTGAAAGCGTCGCGAGCCTCGTGCCAGGATGTTTGAGCTCGGTCTCGACAACGACGGGCCCACCAGTCTTCCACCGATGGTACCCCCGATTGGGACAGCCTGTCGTCAAAGATACTGACAAGCTGTCGTTCCGTGATCCCATAGTCGTCCAGGATCGCGTCGAACTTGGCCAAGAAGTGTTCCAAGGCGATGGGTCGGTTGACACTGTCCAGCTTGGGGGCATACTTCCGGGCGTCCGCCAGAGCCTGTCGCCCTGCGGCCGCAACCCCCACGGCAGAGGGTCTGGACGAGCCTGGTTGGTACGGGTCGACAGGGGGACCACCATCGCCAGGACCACCACCGCCACCACCACCGCCAGGGTAGCCCGGTGTAAAGCCGCGGTCATCACCAGGGAACCCGCTGCGGCGTCGTCCAGTGCCATCGTCACCAGGACCACCGCCACCATAACCATCTCCGCCAGGTCCAGGGTATCCCGAAGGGAGACCTTGTCGTCTTGGGGGACCCGAACCTCTGCCACGGCGTGAGTCGTCGACCCCTCGCGGGTCGTCCTGTCCTGGCTGGAATCCTCTACCGTTGTGTCCGCCAGGATAGTGTCCCGACGAGCCAACCGTTCGATACGGCACCGAGTTCGTACTCAAACCCCGGACGATTCCTGCAACCCGACCCGTGACATCCGGGTTGGACTCTGAGCCCGTCCGGGGGGTGCAAACGGCTGAGGTTCAAACGATTCGGCAGGGTAGGTAGGAGGCGCCCGGAGGTCCTCGGTTCCCGTCATTACTTTAGTATGCTGAAGGGTACTTCGTGACCACATCGAGGTGTCGACGCGACTGAAAAGGAGGCGGGCATCAATGGGTTCGTCACGAACGTTGCAGAGCTCTTGCCGGACGGTGACCCTTTCCGAGGGGGTGTCGGTGTTGGGTTCCCGTACGTTGCTTGTAACGAGCTTAGTTGGAATCGATCCGCCTGCTTCCTGAGCTCCCACTCGCGCTTCTCAACGTTGAGGAGAGCCTTCTGCCGGTCGAGTTACGCGAGTTCGTGCTTGGCCCGGGCCTCATGGGAGTACCGGTCGCGCCTCAGCTGTTCTTCCGACTGGTTCAGGAGGCCCATGTTGGTTTCCTGACGGGCCAATCCGTCCTCGATGTGCGCCAGGACGTCCTGGTTGATAGCCGTCTCACGCTCCAGGTCGGCTCTGTCGGCGTTCAGTTGCGACCTTTCTTGCTCAGTAGGGGCGTTCCCGGCTTGCCCAAGCGACATGAATTGCACCTGGACATCGTGCTCGAGTTGTCGCATGCTCTCGTGGTGCTCGTCCAAGTCCTTTTCGTGTTGTTCGCGTTCCAGGAGGAGCAGCTCGTGGGTCTCCCGGACGCGTCGCTCGGCGTCCTGGAGGGAACCCTGGGCTTCTTCCAACTGGAGGGCCACACGCTTCTGGTTCAGGTCGGCCTCCTGGACTCGCAGTTCAAGTCCACGAAGCCTATCCTGGAGGTCATCATTCGCCTTCTGGAGCGCCGGGCAGTTGCCACAGGGCAGATTGGGACGGTTAAGCGCCGCTTGGAGACGTCGCTCGAGATCCTGGACATCGGCTTGGAGCTTGTCCTTCGCGTCCTGCAGGACAGTACAGTTGCCGCACGTCGAATTGGCGCGATTAAGGGCTTCCTGCCGCCGTTGAGCGGACTTGGCAGCGTCCAGCTCCATGGTCACAAGGTGAAGCTCTTCGCGCAGGGTGGAGATCTCCTGGGTTTGGCGAGTCTCCCGCATCTCGTAGGCCTATTCCTTCTCGTCGATTTCACGGCGGCCTTCAGCCAACAGGACCGTGAGCTCTTCCTGGTAAGACCTCTTCGTGTTCTTTAGGTCTTCATGCAAACGGCTAAGGGTGTCTTCTCGGCTGCCATCCTGGCGTTCCAGGGGTCTTCAAGTCTCTTCGCTTCTTCATGCAGGACAGCCGTCGCTTCAGTCTTCGCGTGTGAGCGCGCTAGTTCGAGCTCACGGTCGTAACACTCGCGCAGGTACGCCAGAGCCTTCAGGTAGTCATCCTGGCGACGAGCTTCGTGGGCTTCCACGGCCCGCGTCAGCTCTTCAGCCATTCCGACCAGACGTTCGTCCAGGAGACGAGCTCTCTCGTCGTAGAACTGCTTCAGGAACCGCTGGGCTTCGATCTTCTCGCTTTCTTTAAACGTCTTCATCAGATCTCCGTAAGCCCTTCCGAGCTCCTGGCCTCCGCCGTTGATCACCGCGTCGCGACCACAGGGGTACCAGGGTCGTTTGGGATAGGCGTCCACGAACCCGGGCTGCCGGTGACCTCTTGGACCAGGGAGGTGCTTCCGGGAGCCGGACTTGGGTTCGCCAGGCAGAGTTGGTATTCGTTTCCGGCATCCTCGACATCTTCACCCGAGTCTTCTGGTGCCATAACGTCTTCGGTCATGACCGCCAGCTTCTTCGGGGCCGAACGTGTGTCCGACCTGTCGGTCGGGGGCGACACGTTCGGTGAGCCTTCGGCTTCGCGTTTCCTTTCCGGCGGCGGGATCGTTGGTCCTGCCGAGTCGTCGTGGTCGGCCGGAGCGACAGTCTTCGTCCGGGACGTGCGTCCCAAGCTCCCGGTCTCGGGAGCCAGCCCTGCCAACCGGCGGGAATAACGCGTAGCATTGCTTGCTTCTTGGCACTATCATGCACAACCCGCAAAGAGGAAAAATGTTACATAGAGTACATAACCTGGCAATTCATCTGGGTTGGAGAAACCCTACATAAACAACAGCCCAAAGATCAGATTAGATCAGTGCGGAAGGCAATTAACTGTAAACACATGCAATCCTAGTCCAAGTTCTACACTCCGTCACGAGCTATGGCATGCAGTGTCCACAAAAGGAGCATCTTGGCTTAGTTGGATTGGTATCTTGCACCAAAGGTCGAGGTTTTGATTCTCAGCTTCCGCGAAGTTCGTAGGCATGGGATGGCTTGGGGGTACGAGGAATCCGAACTCGCTGAATCTGGATAGCAAGAGCACTGTACGGATACATGGCATGCGAGACACTTCAATACGACCCTCTCGAAAGAGTAGAATTACAGGAACGACGGAAATCCTTCCCCCGTGGTACTCGAACAAACTTCAGGAATATTAATATAATCGACGTCCAAAATCACCCTCTGGAAATTAAGCACATTTTGACCAATTGATGACAATAGTATCTACGTCCAAGCACATGATATGATACAACCTGATCTTGCTGTCGTCAAACAAAAACTATACACTTTGTTACTGATTCTTAGAATGCTATTATCCTACTGTGTTATTTTATTATCCTGAAATGATAATCTTAGGTGCGCAAGATGTCAAAGTAAGATTGCTTTTTGGCTAAGCTATTATGGTGATCGCTGTCATTCGTTGTGACCCCTCTTTAACTATTACAATATATACCTATTCCAGAAATACCTTGAACAACCACCTGTGCGATATTGTTTTCATTTTTATCGCACCAAGAAAATAACTTTGCTCAATCATTATTTAAGTAAAACTTGCATTCAGCCTCCTCATTTTACCTGGGGCATTTATTATTCGTTCACTCACAACAACAGAAATACCTGGTGTGTTGTTTTGAACAAACAATTTGCTTCAATATTGCGCAATTTGGATTAGAAAACCGTCGACTGTTCTCACAAAATGCACAAACACCCCTCGCGAATTCATGTAAGATTGGATTGCCAGCAGCGAAAACGCTGGCCTGTAGTACGTGCTCAAATTGTATGACTCGCTCAGGAAGAATCTGAACAATACAGACATCAATACAAAATACTACCTCTGTCCCCCAAATATTGCAGGCAGTTTCATATGTCGGTCATCTCATCTCTGATTGGCTTGAAAATTTGTGGGCTGGAAGACCAATGGTTCACGAATAGCAGTGATTTTTCACGTCAATTATATTTCGCTTTTCGACCCGCAAGGGCTGATGGAAGATGCCAATACAAAACGCAAGTCAAATTTAACTGACGACCAACGGAAATGCTTGTACCTTGAGCTGCTAAAGAGGAGCTCTGACGGCAACTTATTCCGCGCTCTTGATAGCACGTTTGGAACGCTACAGCGTGTTATTGTGGACGCAGCTGGTGATAACCGTTACAAGGTCCCGCGCAGTTTGAATTTTCAAGCTGATATTTTGGTGCTCGACATGATGAACGTGCGGCTGGATGAAGAAGATCGATTGGAAGAACTGACGCAGATGATGGACGCTTTGGTCATCGACTTTAAATGGATTTGTACTACTCCAGTAAAAACTTTTAAATACAGATTCCTTGTATTTGAATTTGGTGTACTCTGGAATGTTCGCCTGCAATATTTGGGGGACAGAGGTAGTACCATATTATACTCCCTCCGTTCCAAAATAAAGCCGCGAATCAGAATTTTGACGTATGCCTCCTTGAATAAAATACAAAACGCTAAGATCGAATACATTATTTATGAAGTTATACAGTTGTAATGCTACTTTTGCCCAATCAAATTATGCAAATCGCACGTCTCACAACCAATCAATAGGCGAAATTGCTGAAATCCGACCTTACCAATCAATTCAGGAGGTGGGTTTACCACCAGACCCAACCAGAATTGGACTAGCCGAAGCGGTGTACCACTCCAACATTGAATCGTAAAGTACGGTACTTTAGTTGATTTGTCATGTGTAACCAGAAACTACCCTTCAAATATTGTAGTTTCAATTATCAAAACATGCAAGACCCCTTCATCATTGTTGTCCCTCGAAAGACAATTTACAGTAAGTATCGAATATAAAGGAACGACATGAGGGCCATTTGGCGCGAAAACGCATTTGTCAATCACTCATGACGCAGCCTGGCACCAAACACCCCACAGAATTGCTACAGGACGACCATCCGTCAAAAACTGCCACCGACGTGGTCTATCACAGCATATGCGATTGTACTTCAGCTTTGCGAAGCAGCTTCACATCACCATCTGGCGCAAGCAGCACTCAATGTAATCGGCGTTGGACACGTTCTTCTGTGGTGCTCAGGGCGTAGCCCGTAGATCAGCACAAAAACGTATAATTCGGTGGGAAAAAGTCGATCCCAAATAACCAAAATGGCAAAAAATCCATCAACGTCCACCTGCAAGAATGCACGACCTCTTGGGACGGCAACTACTCTTTCAAGAGAGCATGAAGAACAAGTCGCGCATTGGGTGCAAGAACTTCGATCCCCAGTAATTCTTGTTAGCAGGTTTTTGCTGCAATGTAATGCTCTTGAAGTGGCTAAGGACGTTGGACTAAGCCTCATTCAGTTCGAAGCAAGTCACCGTTGGATTACTACGGGATTTATCAAACGTTGGAAACTAGCTATGTGAGCAAAACGAGATCCGGGCAAGCCAACCTGGCGCAAGGCGACGCAGCCTTGGCAGAGTTCAGTAACGAGTTCGACAACTTATTCAAGATAAGAACATTACCGAGATCTACAATGCTGATCAAACCGGCATCAACTTTGAGTAAATACAGAGGCAAACCATTGACAAGTGTGGAGCGAAGTCCGTTTGGATGCGATGCGCCGGCAACGAGAAAGATCGAAGGACAGCAATGGTGCTGGGCGACACCAAGGGGGCCACAGCATATCCGGATTTATTATCCGGATTTCGTCGAGGAGTCGAATTGAAAAGTGAGTAAATCGTCGGATTTACAGTTGCGTGTTCTCTTGACTACATCAACATTAACGAACAGTCATGTCTCATAAAACCATAAATTGCGGAATTTCATGTACTTCCTCTGTCCCAATTTACCACCGACATTTGACTTGTAAGCAACCCCAAAAATTCATTTTTTATCCAAACTGAATGATTCAAATCAATTTCGAAAGAACATTAAAAACCGAAGAGAGCGTCCATTGACAGCAAGACGCGAAAAGATAGTCTTGGCGGTCGAAATCCACATCCTTTTTTGAGAATTATATAATTCAAAAGTCGGAGACCTGAGCCACTCTTTTTGAATTTGCCGCCATGACCACTGACATGCCACGCATACGCCGAGAACTGAGTGCCGACGATAAGCTCGAGGTTGTGAAGATGCTGCAACGCACCTTCATCAAGCGCGAGCTGGCCCATGGAGCCATCTCGGCAACTGCAGCCCAACTAAACCTGCACCGCAGCACGGTCTCCTCGTTGTGGCCCTCCTTCAGCAGCAACGAGCCGACGTCGAACAAACTAGGCCGTGTGGGTCGCAAGCCAGTCTACACGGCTGATGAGATCACAGCTATGGTGAACGCTGTACCCCACTCCCAGCGCTCGACAATGCGCGACATATCGGGGCAACTGGGTTGTCGCTTCGCACACTCAGCCGCAGCCTGAATAAAGGCCGGCATCATCCAACGCCGCTCGTCACGCCTCAAGCCCCTGCTCACGGATGCCAACAAGTTGGCCAGGGTCGAGTTTTGTTAGGTTGCCAGCGGAGCTGGCAACCTAGCAGAATGTCAATTTGACGATATGTGGGACGTCGTGCACCTTGACGAGAAATGGTGTAGCGCGGAAAAGGGCCGTCGCAAAGTGTACCTGACGAGGAACGAGTCTCTGAGCCGTCGCGCATGCAAGAGCAAGCGATTCATACCCAAGGTCATGTTCCTTGCTGCCGTCGCCCGCCCCCGTGTCGACGATGACCGCGGCGTTCTGTTCAATGGCAAGGTCGGCATGTGGCCCTTCGTGAAGCAAGCCCCGGCGCTCGCAACTCTCGGAATCGCGCCGCTGGAACTATGGTCTCGACGTTAGTCAACGTCAACGCGGATGTTTACCGTGACTTCGTTCTGCACAAGGTTGTTCCCGCTATCAAGGCCAACTTTACCAGTGCCTACAAAAGGGTCATTTTGCAGCACGACAATGCGACACCCCATGCCTCGGTCACGGATGCAGTCCTGGAGAGTGTATCCACGGATGGATGGAAGTTCGTCGTTCGTCGTCAGCCGCCCAACAGCCCTGACCTGAATGTCCTGGACCTTGGTTTCTTTGCATCCATCGAAGCTCTACAGTACAAGATGGTGAGTTCATCCATTGACGATGTGATTTTCTCGACGTTGACAGCTTTCGACCACCTCAGTGTCGACAAGCTGGAGAACGTATTTCTCTCGCTGCAGGCTGTGATGCGCCTGGTTCTTGAGCATCAAGGCGACAACCACTTCAAGTTGCCCCACCTACGTAAAGATGCATTGAGACGTGCTGGCAACCTCATGGCTACTGTGGCGTGCCCTGTTTTCCTCCTCCATGAGTCGGACATGTACCTCCAACCCCACGGAATTCCAAGCCTCGAATAGGAGTTATAGCCAATTAAATCAATACATTTGTTCATGGGCCAATGACAATAATATGTCGGTGGTAATATGGAAAAAGTTGTGTTTTGACATGTCGGTAGTAATATGGAACAGAGGAAGTATTGGTTTTTGCGCATCATATCTACCCACATTACAATACTTGGCTAAACATATAACGTGATCTCTCGGTGATCGGCCGAACGGTCTTAGCCAATAGAATCAAAACTTTCATATAATTGGGCAAAATGGATTACTGCATGCATTGAACCCTTCAGTATCTTATGGCGGGAAAGCATTTAACTTTATAGAGACAAAGGTGCTTTTTGAAATCGACATGCCGCCAAGAACGCCGTACACTGCCGAGGACATGCAAAATGCTGTAAAGGATGTAATTACTGGGCTATGCAAGATATCCGCTGCGTCCAATACTTACGGAATACCTGAACGGACACTGCGCACTCATGTGATTAATTACAGATCCCAAAACACGAGTGCCATCACTACGTTGGGTCCCAATCCGCTTCGGCCTTCCTCATACGAAGCCGCCTAGTCACGTGGATATTATCGATGCAGCGACATGGGCATCCTGTTGGCCGATCCGACATACAGTTCAAAGCGAGTCTAATGCTTGAGATAGTTCACGACACTTCCAGCCCCCGAACGCTGTCCTCAGGATGGTATGAAAAGTTCGTTCGACGCCATCCTGTCTTGAAGACAACAAAGGCACAAGGATTGAGCAGGGCCCGCCACAGCATTGACAAAGAGACTGACGTCGACTTCTTTCACGAGCTTGTCCATGCCATGTCCCTGGTGGATTTCGATCCTTCTCGGGTCTTTAACATGGACGAAACTAGCTTTTCCCCCAGCAAGACATGCAAGAAAGTTGTTGTACACCGTGGATCGCGAAACGTGTATGTCGAAGAAACGACTACTTCGTCACATGTTACGATTGTCGCATGCGTTGGTGCTGACGGCACTAAGGTTCCTCCTCTCTTTATTTTGCCTGGCGATCGCGTCTCAACACAAGTGTGCGACAGTTTGACCATTCCCAGAGCCGCGATCACTACGTCCGAAAAAGGCTGGTCGAACACGTTTATCTGTCGAAAGT